TGCTCACTCCAGGCGACGGCAGTGTCCCCAAGCTCGTGTGGGTGGGACACAGAGGTCTGTATGTGACCGGGGAATCTGAACTGCTGGGGAGAAGTGGCCCCCAGAGCTCAAAAAAGTATCCCGGGGAGAGAGACTTCTGTCCCTGGGACGTGCAGTCCTGGTGAGAATCCCTGCCCTAGACCTCGGGCCAACACTCCAAGACAGAAATTCAAGGCGAGCAGCAAAGGAGCGGCCTAATAAGTTCAAAAATGGGACAGAGGCCAAGTCGAGATACACTGCAGTAAAAGGCACAGGCGTTAGTATGCCGGAGGGCCAGTCTACCTGGGCGTGCATCTCGGCTCTGCCAGCCACGGCTTTCAAATCACGGGCAAATTCCTCCACCACTCAGTTTCTCCAGCTATAAAATGGGTACGATAATCGTACTAACCTCTTAGGTTGCGTGAGAATTAAATGAGTTAATATGTAAGTGCTTAGAACGTAGATGGCACAAAGCTAAGTATGACTGAAAATCCGCGAGAGAAGTTCTACAGTATCCTTAGCTATTTCTTTAAAAATGTGTTTTATCTCTTGGCCCAGTGGCTTAATATGTTTTTTCAATTAAAAAGGGGAAAATAAGACTAACAGGATATTGACTTTTATTGCAACAACTTTGTTCTTGTTTTGTTCTGTGATAATTTTTAAAATACTCAACCTGCATTGTTTTGCCATTAAATGTCTTTAAAGGGGGGCAGAGTGAGTTAAAAAAGTAAACCAGACTTTCACTGTCTCCTAAGCCTCCTCCTGGTGGGGACAGCGGTGGCTGAAACCAGCACCACCCAGTGCCAGCAGCGGGTATTGCAGGCTCTAGTCTAGGGTGGCAGCAGCGAGCATTTGCGGGTGAGGAAGAGCTGAGGTCCAGGGGCGATGGGGGCAGGGGCCATTCGACTGGACTGCCAGCGGTCCACGGCCGTCTGTTCCAATTGGCAGGTGCTAAATTCTTTGACTATCACCCTTAGGTGACAGAACTGTCACTCCGTAGCTGCGACCAGAGAAATGCCAACAGGGTGCGTACGCTCACCTCCTCCCTGTCAAAACCCGCGTTAAGATCCAGCCCTTCAAACGACCTGAAGCTCATGCCAAAGAGAAAAAATAACCAGGGTGAGTGTGCGCGACACACGCCTTCCTCCCCAGGTCCGTCTGTGTGTGTCTGACTTGCACACATACATGCACACAGGGCTCGCGTGCGATTCAGTGGTCGGTGGGGACATGGCTGGGCTGCAGTCCCAGCAACCCCAAGTCCTTCGGCTTGTCACATATTGCTAAAAGTGAGTCCAAGATGTGCTCTTTGATCTCAAAGAAGGTAGCTTTCAGTGAGTGGGCAGCTCCAGAGAAAAGAGAGAGCTCAGTGCCTCCCGGCCAGGGGTCCTGAGTGGGCGCAGAACGGGGGCCACAGGGGCACGGGGGCGGGGCTTTGCTCCGCCAGATACAGACACTGCGCCCTCCTGGCAGATGAGATGGGGGAGGGCACCTGCCCCTCCTCCACCCCCAACTGGCAGGTCCAAGTGACAAGACTCACCAAGGGCTTCCTAATCTTACTGAGTCTGCTGGGCAGATTAACAGAAATAACGGCCATCACATGGAGGTCATTCTGTCCTGGGGGCTGAGCAACTGACCTTCGGCGTGTCACTTAATCCTCACAAGAACCCTCAGAGGTGGATGCCCGATCCCTATTTGACAAACGGGCCGACTACAGCCCGGGAGGGCAGGAGGGTGGCCGTGCTTCTGCTGGGTCTGCTTTGCGGTGGCAGTGGGGAGAGCCCTGACCTCGACCTCAGCGGCAACGCTCCCCATTCCTCCCGCAGCTGCCAGGGGACCTGTTGCCAAGTTCGGGCCGGAAGGCAGTTCAGGCTCCCCCGCCTGCCCTAGTCCCCACCGCCGGGGAAACCACTTTCCTGCCCCCGCGTCCCCGTCACCTGAGTCACCCTCACCCAGCTCGGGAATGACTCCTTGAGCCTGTCCCCCGGGGGCCATAAAGGATTTCCCATCCCCTGCCGTGCGGGTTGCCCCGGAGCCGGAGCCGATGAGAAGTCAGCACCTGGGCGCCTGGCACACACTAAGCGCGCGTCCAACGTCTGCTCCTTCTCCACGTCGAGCTCGCTGCGGCTCAAGGGGCTCCCTGCAGCCCCGCTCCCGGCGGCCACTCCCTGCACCAGCTCGCAGCCCCCCGCCATCTGGCGTCAGTGCCCTCACATTCCAGCCCAGACACTTTTCAAGCCTGACGACCAGACTCTCTCCTGGGGAGCAGCAGGTCTCCCCCATTCCCGGCACGCAGGCCTAATCCGCCCCACCCCCCGCACAGCGTTGCAGCCCACCCAAAGTTCGTCGTCCTCCAGGCCGCTCAAGCTCAGGCCTCCCCCGCACGGCTGTGCCCACTGCCCCACCGGCCCCCATCAGACCAGGGGCTCCCGGAGCGCGGAACCAGAGGGCCCCCGCAGCTCCGGCTCCCAAACCCCCAGGCCGGCTGCTCCGGACAAGCCAGGAGCTCGCGGCCAGAGGCTCGTCGGACGCCGGCCGGGCCGGGCCGGGCCGGGCGGGGCGGGAAGACGCTCCGGCTGCGCGCTCGGCTCCCGCGCCTTCGCACTCGGGGGAGAGGGAGGCAGGAAGTGCATGCCGGGCCGCGCGGGCC